ATATTTTTATGCGGAGCCTAATTTTTTTCGAAGTTCAGTGTCATATCCACAAATATTTCCCATAAGATTCCCCTGGGAATTACGATCCACCTTCTCATAAATAATTCCCCAAATTTTCTCCAATACAACCATGTTTTAAGGATTAAATAATTCGGCGCTTAGCAACTTGAAGTACGTGCTATTTCAAAGCGGCCCTATATACGAACACGTTTACAAACCGAGCCTGCCACGACTGAGCATTTCTGGGCCATCACTTTCTGTTCACATTGCAGATACACGTCCTTGTACAGAAACCGACCAGTGAAACCACAGAACGAAGGTCTGGAAGGTCTAGAAGAAGTGAAGGCGGTCCGAAGAGAAAAGCCACAATACGTCACGATTAAGAGGGACAGGTAAGCTGCAAGCGTGCGCTCCATAAGCTACACATTTCTTATATCCTAAATAAAGGCTGGAATTAGGAGCTTACTCTTCTCCAAGTATAATTAGAACGATCAAGTCGAGGAAGATGAGGTGGGCAGGGCATGTAGCACGAATTAGAGAGACGAGGAATGCATATAGGATATTGGTTGGAAAACCAGAGGAAAAGAGACCACTGGAAAGACCAAGGCGTAGTTGAATGGACAATATTAAAATGGATCTTAGAGAGATAGGATGGGATGGTGTGGATGGGATTAATCTGGCTCATGATAGGGACCACTGGAGGGCTCTTGTGAACACGGTAATGAACGCTTCGGTTCCATAAAATGTTGGAAAATTACTGAGTAACTGCAGAATTGGCGGCTCCTCCAGAAGGACTCAGCTCCATGAGTAAGTAAGTAAGTAATTATGTAAGTAAAGGCTGAAGCTTTACATCAGAATTCCCTTTTTGGATACAAAATATCGGTCTCTCTCGTTAAGTAATCCGTGTCTATTATTATCCAATTCAGTCATGTACAAAAACAAGATATAAACCCATACGAGTGCAGACAGACTGAGAGTAACATAATAGTTATATTTTCTCCCCATATTTCTGTTTATATATTTACTTCCCCCTCTTCGTTTTGTTCCTTATCTTCGTTTCCTTTCTCAGTGTATTTAAGAACGTTTTCTGATCTTCATAATTGATACAGCATCGAATAAAAGGATGATAATGAACTGAGAATAATATGAAAGTATGCGAACCTAACCTGTCATAGGGCTCTTTCTTGGCATTTGTCTGGAGAGACACAGGAAACCACAAAATCCTTATTCAGTATTGCCAGATTCCCAGACGAGAATCGGACCCAGAACCTTCGGCATACAAAGCATATACCACTCCTATATTGTCATAAAGGCGAAGTTTGCTACGAGGGAGAGACAGTGAATCGATCATAAATGGATGTAAAAGGTAAAACATGTGATACTTGAACGTGCAAATAAACATTTATTTCTCGACATATTTTGCACCAACACTTGTCCCATCGCTTTACCAGTACGTCGAAACTCGCAGTAGAGAAGTCTTTGTGACTGTTGTCTCAGCAACTTTCTCACCTCCGTTTCAACTTCTTCGTCATCAGCGAAACGTTTACCACCCAGTTGTGGACCGCCTTATGCGACAAAACTTCCCACCGAAAACAAAATATTTCTTTACGAATACAATTTACATCGAGTCCAACAAAATGATGCTCTTCGGTAGTACAAACCTCAAGGACGGTCGCCATTTTACCTACTGAAACCAGCCTCTGAACATGCGCATGCGCGTCTGCTACCTAGACTGTCATGAAGCTGGACTGTGTTGTTACCTAGTGATACACATAGAAAACCTATTGCGTCTATTACAGCTGTTTATTTCCATGTTTGACCTATTTACTGACTCCCTTGTATAATACCAAAAATTATGAAATCAAGTTTTGGCTTTACATGAAGCGTACATTACGTATACAGAGCTAATTTCGCCTTGCAGTCTTTTAATATAAAATCTAATCGAAGTCAGTTTAGTGGTTTCGAAGAAGGCACTTGCGAACAGATGGAAACAGATAAAGACGAACAGTCTAGACATCCCTTTCATGCGTTCACTTTACATATATCGTATAAATTAGGCGCGACAATAAAGCAAGATTGTTTTGTTGTGCTCTGCTGTATGACACTGCCAGTATCACTAATACATAGCATCGAAAGATAGGTTGACTGACGACTAATTATTTTGAAAGGATCTGGAAGGAAACGGCAATGACCTAATGTAATACTGTCGTCTAATTTGCTTGGAAGGGCTGGAGATAGCCGCGAAAAATATTAATTCACGATATTCAGTGTCGAGATTCGAACCGAACACCTCGCAAATACAAATCTGTAATGTTACGGCTACGCGAACTAGTCGGTAAGTATGCTTGTTGCAAGTTCGACACAATCCACACAGATTTACTGTAACGACAACATAATTTCTTAAAGACCTGCAACTCCTGAACCAGAGGACTTGGAAGACGAAGAAGAGGAAGATGAAGAAGAGGACGTGCTGCTTCCGGAGGACGAGAGAGAAGGACGTGAAGATGCAAAATCGCAGAGCAACCCCGTAGAGTACGTAACAATACGACGGGCGCGACCCCTCTCCTCTGCTGCCGCCGACATAACAACCCCAAGGTGAGACACGGACACGCATGAGGGTAAACAGGTAAAGTTGTCCCTGTGCTGAACTAACTGATCACTACGCATGACCACGTGTGGGGGAATGGATGTAGAGATCCACGTATTCTTGACCTCGGCACTAGTTTCAGGTGAGTGGTCAGCTTCACGCCTCAGCCGCTTTAACCCCCAAGGAAAGAGCCCCGGGCAGGAGGTTGAGTGGGTCATAGAATCTGTCTGGAAGACGTGGAGAGGAGAAAATCTTCCCTCTACCGGGACTCGAAATCCGACCCCTCGGCCGTCCAACCCGAAGCCAGTTTCTATACCGACTGAGCTATCCCAGCTCATATTATGAGGGTCATAGTCTATGTAGGGTGGTCCAGAGAGGCGTCCCGGTTATTTTCTCACTGCCTGGACGCTTCACTGCCTTTTCCTTTGAAAACGGTGACATCAAACAAAGGCAACGGTTAACTGAATTCGGTAAATGTCGTGTACTGTTATTGTTTTCTTGAGGGATAATATTATATTCAGAAAATATATCTGCCGCCAATTATTATTTTCAGAATGATCTCAAAAACAAATTGGCACAACATATGAAATACCAGAGTTCCCTTTTTAAATGCAGCCTCTAATCTGTCTCATATATACAATCACGATTTCAATGTACAATGCAGGCAATCATAAATAGAAATTTGTTCTCGGCAAAGCGGAAGTCTGCAATGCCGGATAAAATAAGTACTTCTAATTTCCTTGTGGCGACCCTTTTAGTAGTTACTAACAACGATGACTTCTACACAAATATATCTGCAAGCTTTAGACGTTTATATGTATGGAACAAAAAAAAACTCCGTGGTTTTAGACCGCAAGAGAACTATACCGACCGAGCGACCGCCGCTCGTCGGCGAAGTTAGTGCCAACTTTAGCGGATAGAGGGTGTCGCGTGGTCAGCGCAACGGATCCCCATGGCCGTTAATCTCGGTTGTCTAAACCGGAGCCGCTATTTTCTTGAAATAGCTCCTCGATTATCTTCACGAGGCTGAGTAAACCCCATTCTAGACCCACTACTTCTCAGAAAATCTAGTATCGCCGGGAATCGAACCCTGACCTCTGGATCTATAGTCAGGAACTCTGGCCACTAGACCACAAAGGCGGGTACGTTCATAAATATACTTATCAAGCAATTTCCGTTGCATTAATTTAATTGCAATTCCTATTTTTTCCTCAGGTATATCACCATTCAGCGATCAAGGAAGCCAGTATCAGAACCGGAAGTAGACGACACCGCAAGAGATGCCGATGTTCAAGACATTACAACAGAAATCAGACCGGTATATACGACCACAACTGAGAGAGAGCCTGAAACAAGGGTCCAGATTGTGACACCGGTCAAAACACTTGCCACAGAAAAGCCGACAGGATACAGGAAAGTTAGCAGGAATGGGGGTCACGAGACTACCACTGCGGAACCTGATCAGAAGGTGAGTGCAAGAGGATTCAGGCACAAACCGTCAGAATCTGTCATAGGCATATACCCGCAGTATGTAGACGTGACGAGCATTGGAAGGCGTCGTCACAGCACGACGCCACAAACAGAACTCGATAGAGCGCCAGTGTCACCTCTTCAAGAACCACTCCCACACATTCAAGTCAATAGCATTACTAGAAGACGAAATATAAATCATAACAATGACCTTAAAATTTCCCAACTTACTGAACCTTCTGTAGCTCGACCTGTACCTGGCACCGCCATTCCTGAAGACACAATGTTTACCATAACACCTGACAGATATCATTCCAAATATACAGATATTCCCCTGCGTAGTGGTGGCACAGTTTCCGATTATTCGGATATTCCTACAACTGAAAAGCTGGAAACAAATAATCAAAAACACGAAGATAATGATTCAATTTACAGAAAACGAGACGGTACGTTGCGTAGCACTGACATCCAATCTAATGGAAATCGGTCACCGGAAACAAACATCGATTCTAATGTCGAAACAACTCCTCCTCCAACAACGACACCTGTAAATTTCAGAGAAGCAACCCCTCAAGTCCCATCAATTCCAGACACAATTCCTCCGCCAACAACTACGAGGTTTACTCCTACATTAACGAGAATTGTTACTTCAGTAACAGAGTCCGGTACTACAGAACGTCAAATAATTGCTGTCAATAGAGTTCCTTATATAGCTTTAGCTGCTCTGAGAGGACAAACGGTGTATCCTGGTCCTTTGGTATACAACAGGCATTCAATAGTTCCAACTGAAGAAACGATACTTCACAAAACTACATCATTGGCAATTCCCGTTCAACCGGAATCCACGACTAAGAGTTTAGCGGAAAAAAACACGATTTCGTTGACAATACAGGGCAAGCCGAAACTAGAAAAGGTAATGGAAGTTAACAGAATAACACTTGTTACCTTGAAAGAAGAGATGTCACTTGGGACTACACGGGCAATGTCCGGAAACGAAACTACAGAACGAATATTTTCTCAGGGAAAGTCAGATAAAGCAACGGATAAATTAAGCCAAGTGACTCAAATGAAAAATGTTACGGCTGTTGGTGGCAGCCTAACCGTTGCTCCAGCTGCTAACTACACGACTGACATGTCACGAGAGATATTCGCTAGTTTTTCCACACCTCCAATCTCTTTAGAAGAAACGACGCACCTTGAAAATGCCATAGATGTTCAGGATGAAATTCTCTCTGTAAAATCTCACAATCCTCCCACCACTAGTAGCTCTAGTCTGGACACTTTTAGCACAGATACACCGCCGGTTACTGAACAGATACTTTCAAACGTTACTTCGAAACAAACCGATTCGGTTGACGAGGCTAGTTCTGTTGGTCCACTTAATAATAGAAGGCGTCCGAATTCAGGCAGGAAACCGGGAATAGATGACTTTAGGAGACGAAGAATCAGGCCTACATTCTCGACTAAATCTGCCGAGGCAATAGCTTCAAGTACTCCATCAACGATTTCCCAAAACAGAAGAGGGCAACGGAAAAGACCTCGTCCATATCGGCCAACATCGACGACAGTAGCCGATGAAGAAGCGAGGGTGTTGCCAGATCCAGATGACTCGAGTGCGAAACATGGAGCTGTTAGTGCTGATCAAAATAATGGGCACAGAAGAACGTTTATCCCAAAAAGAGGCCAACGAAGAAGACCACGACCGGATGTTCCAACTTCCACGTCAACAAATCCAGATGAATTGATAAATCCGTTACAAAATACCGGAGGTGAAAACATTGTTCTGGTAACTGAAAATATTGCCAACAAAACAGTTGGTTTCATTCCAAAGAGAGGAAACAGAAGAAGGGGAACAACCCAGAAGCCAACAACAGAAACATCAAACCTAACAAGTGCAACAACACTGAGAGATGAGAACGGAACTTTGTCAACAGGTGCCAAAAAACTGAAAGACACGGATAAATTGTTTTCAGTTCTTTCCACGGACCCAAATATGCCTGATTCCTCTGACAGCATTAAATCAAGCACACAGGGTGTAGATACATTCATCTCAGAGCCTAAGTCAGTGTTTGATCCCGAAGAGAATCATAGGTATATAAGTAATTCAACCGAATCAAACTTGAAATCAGAACTTTCAGATCATATCGAAGTGAGCACCATTAGACATTCCCATAGAACGGGGTCGTTTCCTTTACGTAACACTTCCCCATATTCAGAACTTCTTTTACATTTAACTTCTGATTTAAATAGTACAGAAAACGCCACAGAGGAAGGAGATCCACAAGCAAAGGAAATGACGTCTAGTCCTTCGTCAACACTTGCAAATACAGAATCTGTAACACCATCTTCCACCAAAGCCAGTAGTTCGGCATCAGATAAGAGTGGGGCAGCGGGGAGTGACAGGGTGCGAATTAAGAAAAGACGTAGACGTCCTCAGCCAGCACAAAATGGGAACACACTAGAAGAATCAGCTCGTGAGAGGAAGGTGCTTTCTGGAAATGAAGTGCATAATGACATTCAGGTGTCAGACTTGAATGCAGGCAGGAATATTTCCAGCAGTACTCCTGAGGAGAATGCAGTTACTCCATTCGCCACAGCGGCATTGCTCGGAAGAGAAGACTACGAAATCAGAACCCCCAGCTCAATCGGTGAGTTCGTTACCACTGTGGACAGAGAAGGGAAACACGTGGTGAAGATATCTGTTTTAAATGATCCCAACAGTATAGCAGCTCCAATCAAGAAAAGCGAATCTTTCAGTGACAGGGGCAACAGCGATGACGACAACCTGACAGCGCATAACCCTTCAAACAATTATGAAAAATCCTCCTACGATTCTGAACTAACTACTGTCGAAAACAGTGACTTGAATACTGACGGTAGTGGCTATGCAACGGAAAATGAAGGAAGAAACTCTATTTATCCTCCCTCAGATTCTTCGGGGCCACGTTCTGAAGATTATGACACTTCCCTAACTTCTTCAGTAGACTTCCAAACCGAAGGCCACGGTGAGGGAATATCCCATGTGAATTCTTCAAATGCTTCAACGAGACAGAATCCTAAAAAATATTTTATTACCAGTGTTGATTTCACAGCAGATCCAGCAGATGAGCAAACTTTAGGTTCAACAGCAGCCACAGACAAGAACAAACAGGGTTCTGCTAACCCCGAGGGCAAGACAAGACATCTGGGAAGAAGGAAACGGCCTAGTAGCACAACAGAGGGACCTCAAGTGCTGAGTGAGGTAGGATACTCGCAAATACACGCCCTGCAAACTAACGATGCTGCCCACAAGCAGAATGCTAACAGCTTGCAACCACAGTGAGCGAATGCTGGGCCGAAGGAATAATAACAACCGTAGAAATAACTTGTTTGTTTTTGCGCTAACAGGAATGGCATCAATTCTTGTCCTTCTGTCCTCTTCTCTATCGTAGCTTATACAATAGACCTTGTCTTTAACACTGAATCAAGGGAGGACTGGACAAATGGTTGGACTGAACTCAGCTGGCGTACTCCTTCGAACACAGCACGATACTTACGGACAGAATGAACGGCTCAGTTGACGATGGACTATCTCCACTGTTCCTATATATGCTAATTAAACAAATGGGCTTATTTCCAACTATGGAAACTCACAAGTAGTCTTATTTTCCACATCTGTGATTGATTTTATTTCTGGAATTCTAAACTCGCTGCATTTCCTGAGTCATAACGAGTTTCTTGAACTATAACAGATGCACCTCATTAAGAAATATCATTGCCAATTAATTCCATGTTCAATCTAGTGTAGGTGTTTGGTGTAACTTTATATCCTTGCTACTAACATTGTCATTTGCCCTCCATGTTTTAGCGTGTTCAGTTCATATTGGATCTAAAATGCATTTGCATGTTATGTTTTAGTTTAAAGAATTTTCAGGTAATGTTATATGTACTCATATACATATACATATATATACTCATATGTATATGTGAATACACATAATTCAGCGTCTATGTGCTCATATCATAAGCATAAGAATAATGTTGAAATGTACTTATCACATGAGACGACTTTAACACATAAGACAGACATTTGTAACTACAATCTACTGACTATTCTGAGATAATCACGGCTAAAAAAGGAACTCTTCTATGAGGAGAAAATAAGGCTTCTCATTTCATCTGTTAACTTCCTCTGGTTATTTAATGAAGAGAATCTCGTAATGGACTAAAGCAAAATAAAACTAATCGAGACAAAGTTCGTACTATCCTCCACATCATGTGTAATTAATATACACGCATTAATCGGTTACCTGAGTTTTGCCTGTGAAGACGTGTAAATAGAAAATGTGATGATGCCACTTATTATAGTGGGGGGCCGTAAGTTCTATAAAATATATAAAACACTGGTTGAAACACTTGTTCTTAGCCCGGTTTTTTTAAATAAACTTAAATAATTAATTATCTTATTTATAATGACAATTTCATAAACTCTGAAGCAATTGTATGTTGTATAAAACAGTAACATGACATTTTAGAATCTTACGATCTACATAAAACACAACAAACTGCAAGAAACAAGCAATTAATTATCATCATCATTAATTCACATTCCAAAAACTAAAGAATGTTACATGTCATTATTTTCTGTTATTTACGCTGTGGTGATGGCTTTATGAATTAACATGGATACTGAAGCCTAGCAACGAAACACAGTTCGTTTTAAGCATTACAGGAACAAGATAACAAGGCCGGAGACAAGACGAGAGACAACATAGATTTTATACAAGACAATCTTAGTCGTAGGATTTAAGATTCTCACAGAGGTGGTTATGAATAATTTTGTCTTCTAGAATATAACATCATGTAATTCGCTGAAAGCCAAGCGACGCTTCGGGGGAACCTGTCGCCTCCATTTTCAGGGTCAAATTAAATGTCAAGAAAGAAACCATCGTGAAAGCTGTGTTTCCCACCATGTTTCACGCTAGTGTCTTGCTTTTCTTGTTCTTCGACGTATTCCTCTGAAACGTCGGTTGACTTTCAACGAGCTAAATATCGTTATATCCCAGAAGATAGAATTCTTCAATCTTATTCGCATTTTCTTTTTCACAAGTTGCATATTCTCTTATTATCCACGGAATTCAACGGGCTGTTCCACAGAATTACACACGTTTTGTATTATCGAATCAAATTATGCAAGAACTCTTCTACGGCTTGATAACACAGAGTAACAAATACGATCTTGTTTTGTTTCACTAGGTGGTCACAACGACGGCGCGGAATTTTCGACGTCCAACGGGGGCGTTGTATAATCCTAACAGAGTTCGTCTGCGCTCCACGACGTCTACCACTACCACCACGACGGAGACACCTGCGTCTTCCACAGGTCCTGAGCAGGAGCGCCGTAAGCCCGGAGCCAGACTGGTAAGGCGCAGAAAGTACGGTCCGTCCGCCAACAGAACGGCAGACAGCGATGCTACGGCCTCTGAAGTTAAGTCTTCAGACGCTTCTAACAACGCCCCAACGGACAAAGGTAACCGCCGCTCGGTAGCTCGTAGTCTGTTTAGCGACACTGTACCCCTCCAGAGGCTTCAAAGTGAATCACAGCAAAATATACAGCGAACTGGAAATGATTTTTTTTCTTTAGCGCTACAGCCCCCAATTTGGGCCTTGGCCTACCTCCGTGAAAGTCTCCGTTTCACTTCGGTTTACTAGATCTTAGATATTCGGTAGGACTCCTTGGGCGGGTGATCGGCTCGTTGCAAGGTTTCTACCTGTACACAAACACTGAATATCCATGCACTGAGTGGGATTCAAACCCACGATCCCGGATTCCGAGCAAGCGAAGACAGTGAATGCCTTAGACCGCTCGGCTGCCGTGATTGGCGTGGAAACGTTTAGGGAGGCAGGGAAATATTCACTAATTAAGAATTACTTCCTCATTTATTTAATGATACTGTATCAGTTACAAAGTTTACAAATTGTCGAACGAGAAGATGTCTGTAAATGGTTAGGATAGGTATGAAAGAAAGCAGTCGTGGCTTATTCTAAGGAACAAGCTAGGAACAACTCTCCTAAGAGAACGAAAGAAAAACACAAATTATCTCAGTCGGAATAGCCGGTGTCCTGTCCGAGAGTCGATCTCATGACCTCCAGAACATTAAGCTACAGTATTGATCACTAAACCGCAAATTTCAGTGAATACTTAAAGGTACTGGTTGGCTCCTAGTTGATTTAACGAACACGATGGGACAGACGGACAAACGGAATTTGGCTATTATATATATATATCGAGTAATTTTCGAATTTGTTAACCCATCACTGACGTTGCTGTTATAGCCTGGGGGGGGGGGAGAATAAACATTTTTTACGTACATCGAAGTAACTTCAGAATAAAGGTTCTGGAACCACTGTTCTAGACGGTTCTGGTGGACGGGTAAGGAAATTCAGTTTTCCAAGACGCCGCACCACAACAACGGCGCCCCCAGTGACCACGAGGCCGGTAGCAGTGACGACGTTACCCACAAGCGGCGCCCCCGAGGAGACTCAAAGTGACATAGAGCTCATGGAGTCCAAAGAGCATAAATTCACAGAAGCAGAGGCGGAAGCGGAACTGACGACCACCAAGCTTCCGGACCTCGCAAACTCAGCAGTGGTCGCCATCCACAACCTAGCGACGGTGCCTCCCACGACTCAGCCCACACCGGAAGTAGTCAAAAGTACACGTAAGTTCCGTCATTCATATTTAATAAAGGAATGTAAATTCCTGTCATAACGCAGGTAAAGAAGCAGAAGTAGATGTGTCTTTATGCTTAATTAATTAAGCGTCGAGCTATGAATATGTACAGGCGAACCCCAACCTACGAACATGTGTTCTTTGATACGTGTTAATAAGTTGAATGTTATGGCCGCGCCATAGCTCAAGCGGTTAGACCCTGGCTTCCCACCGCGGCAGCCCGGGTTCGATCCCTGGTCTGGTCAAGTGGGATTTGTGGTGGAAAAAGTGGCGCTGGGGCAGGTTTTCTCCGAGTACTTCGGTTTCCCCTGCCAATCTTCATTCCACCAATTGCTCCACAATCACCCTCACCTATCATCTGGGGCTGGTACAATAGGCCAGAAGTGGCCGCAGTACAATAGACTTAGTCCCACCCCACTAGCAATAAGAGAAGTTGAACGTTCGTAAGCTGAATTTATACTTTTCGTCATTAAATTTGATAAAATATTCGTGAGCGTGGGGATCTGTGTTCCTTAAACGAACAGTGAATCGCAATTTATTAGTTCGTGCAATGTTCGTAAACACGAATTGCTCGCAAGTAGAGGTTCGCCTGTATGGGACAGTGGAGGTATTGCTCAACAATTCTTGACCTCCGCATTAGATGGAAGTGAGTGATCAGTTTAAGGTCCCGTCCGTTTTACCCACGGGGAGAAGCCCTCGGGACCCATTGGATAGGAGGTTGGGTGGACCCCAAAGCCGGTCTCGACGTGGCGAAGTGGAAATTCTTAGCCCTACCGGGCCTCGAACCACGATCCCTCGGTCAATCGCTATACCAACTACGGTATCCCAGTACATACTCCAGTACTCCACATCATACTTGAAGATGTGTAGTTCGGCTGGTCTCCTAGGATTTCTTAATAGCATAGATGGGCAGCAGTGTTGAAAATTATCTTATAATTTTTAGGGGGGGGGGGGGGAGACATGATTCATAAGCATCACTAGTAACCCTTCATTTCTTGTTGTTTCGTAATACGGAGATTGTCATTTGTTACCAAATTAGAAAACAAGTGAGGCACTCTATTCAATAATAACCTAATGGACGCTTTCGCATGTGTTTTTAAGTGACTATACTTTTTGAAAAAAAATTGTCAGTTCCCTCCAAGTGTGAGCATGAATCGTCCGGTCTCTTTGTTTAATATTCATGCCGATGCAAACAGGAATATGAGGGACCTGTCATAATAACAATTCTATTTCCGATCAATTTACTTGGCATTGTTTATAAAAAAAATTGTTTCGGCTCCCACTTCGTTAGGCCAGGTTCGATCCCAAGTCACGTTGTGTGGGATTTATGATGAAAAAAGTGGCAATGGGACTGGTTTTCCCGGAGTACTTCGGTTTTCCCTACCAATTTACATTCCAACAACTACTCCACGTTCATTCATTATCGCACGAGCATCATCGATGCTATTTAGTCTCAATACTGCCAACATCGTTAAACAGATATTTGTAGATTTGCTTAATTCTGCAGTTGGATTATCTGACGAGCATTCTTCCAGTGCGTCTAAACTAAGTTCCTCGCCAAATGTTACAAAATTTAGGACAAAAAAAGCAAACTCCGTGGTCTTAGTTCGCAACAGAACTATACCGACCGAGCGACCGCCGCTTGTCGGCGAAGATAGTGTCAACTTTTAGCGCATAGAGGGTGTCGCGTGGTCAGCGCAACGGATCCCCACGACCGTTAAACTCGGTTTTCTAGACCGGAGCCACTGTTTCCTCGAAATACCTCCTCAGTTCCTCACGAGGTTGAATGGACCCCGTTTCAGACCCACTACTTCTCAGAAAATCTGGTAGAGCCGGGAATCGAACCCGGACCTCTGGATCTGTAGCCAGGAACTCTGACCACTAGACCACAGAGGCGATATATGAAATTTAGGGACAAACCACAATTAATAAATCAGCTGTATATGGCGTCACTAAACGGTCGGAAGTTTCTGTGACCATCACCGGTCACTTGAAGACAGTTGGCAACCGGTTCTTCCCTAGCATGCAAATATCTGGCATGGAATTTATGATAATGGACCGACAGATGATACAATTTTTCTTGCTCCATTCAGGTACAAGCCTCACAACAGCGAGATCATCATCAACGACAAGTTCAACACCTGCCGCGTCTCGTCTGTTTCCTCGTCGAGGGTCTGCAGTGTTCGCCAGCGAGGAACCCCCACCATCACCGTCACCATCTCCAAGGAGTCTACCTGGTAGCGTCTCCCTCAAGCCGCGTCCTTTCTCAAAGACCACGGCAGCCCCCGTCTTCGAGACAGATACGCATGCTAGAACGCCAAAACCCCGACCGCTACCTGTTATAGATTATGAATACTATGACGACGAAGAAGGGATCTTGGATGTGGCGCCTATTTCAGGGAAAGTTAAGATTCATTCCGACGGTTATATTGAATGCCTAGACCGTGGAAATTTCCCACATCCTTTCTCTTGTAAGAAATTTATCTCGTGTGCCAAGATGGAAAATGGTGAACTTCTAGGGTGGGAATATACTTGTCCCAGACAATTATCATTTGATCCCATTGGCGGTATCTGTAACTGGTCTGCAGGGCTCGGCTGTAAGGAGTGAGTGTTGTGCTACTGAAGAACTTCCTGAAGCCGTTATCAAACAGAAACACAGCTTCAAGAGCTGGAGTTCATGTCTTCGATTATACCAAATGGACGCACTGCGAATGTACATGAAATGTGTATATATATGCATCTAGAGGAAACATTCTTGATTCACAGATTCAGGAAGACAACTCAAAATATCTGTTGCCGTTTTCTTGATCGTTATGTTTCCGAGATTGTGATACACACACACTGAGGTTTAATGAACAAACTTCTCAGTTGAATAGATCGCAAAAAAAAAAAAATAAAGGAAAACTATGGTAAGCAGACAAAATCTCATATAATAACCCATATGTAGGCCGCGCCACAGCTCAAGCGGTTAGTCGCTGGCTTCCCACAGCGGCGACCCGGGTTCGATCCCGGGGTCTGGTCAAGTGGGATTTGTGGTGGACAAAGTGGCGCTGGGGCGGGTCTTCTCCGAGTACTTCGGTTTCTCCTGCCAATCTTCATTCCACCAAATTCTCCATCATCATAATCACCCGGGGCAGGCTACAATAGGCCAATCAGTGGCCGCCGTGCCGAGTGGACCCAGTTGGACTCCACCCGCCAATAAGCGTATTAAAAAAAATTAGACCATATGTAGAAGCATCGAGAAAGTAGTTCTAAGAGCACTGGTTCTGAACTTAAAATTTTCATTTGTAAATCTCACAACCCTATGGGCCTCTACGGCCTGTTACAGGGAAACCTTTACAGTTTACTTACTTCAATCAGTTTATATTTGGCTAGATATGAATATGAACGAGAAATTTAATCAAGATTCGGCATCTTTTCGAAAACTAAACAGACTTATTGCTCTTTATTCCACACAAAACAAACGAACTCCGTGGCCTGTAGTCCGCACGCGAACTATACCGACCGAGCGACCGGGTCTTGTCGGCGAAGTTAGTGCCAACTTTAGAGGATAGAGGGTGTCACGTGGTCAGCGCAACGAATCCCCATGGCTGTTAATTTCGGTTTTCTAGTCCGGAGCCGCTATTTCCTTGAAATAGCTCCTCAATTTTCCTCACGAGGTTGAGTGGACCCCGTTCCAGACCCACTAGTTCTCTGAAAAATCTTGTAGCTCCGGATATCGGACCCGACCTCTGTATCTGTAGCCAGAAACTCTAACCAGTAGCCCACAGAGGCGATCCTTTATTCTACACAAAAGGTTATAATTTAAAAAAAATGGGCTGCACGAATACATTGCGTATATTTTGACATATGCTGTGGTCACTGATTATGTTGCCTTGGAAAGGAGATCGATTATTGTTCGGGTAGGCCATTACTGGTGGCCGATTATAAAGCTAAAGAAAGAATGCGGCTTAATCATTTCATACAAGCCTGAGGGATTTCAGCCTGTTACCATCCTCAAATACATATTTCATAACAACTATATATAGCATTCACTAGGCATACAACAATCACAGTATTATTTGTGTCCCTTGCCTGTACAGCTGCTTCAGATGTAACCGATGTCGGTCAAGCCGTTTTCGAGAAAATTCACAATTCATGTTTTAGAGCCCTAGTGCGCCTATTGTTAATATCCGGAATATACCACCTATGAAGTTATATTGAGGGAAATTCCATAAATGAATGAGAAATTATTTCAAATAACTGGATCAGTTTTCGAATAAATCGAAATTATGTCTGCGATGGTCACATATAGATCGCAGTCCTCACGTACACACACACACATACATACATACATACATACATACAGACAGACAAACAGACAAACGACAATCCAGAAACCTGTTCTTGTAAGATTTGAGATTCTAACAGCGGTTGTTATAAAGAGTATTATTTTCTGGGCTATAAGGCTGTGTAGTAAACTGAAAGTCAACTGATGTTTCGGAGGAGCATATTGCTTCCTTCTTTAGGGTCGAAGAATAAACGAAGCAAGATATGTCCCTCCGAAATATCAGTTGACTTTCAACGGACTACACGCCGTTATATGCCGTATTTTATAACCATCGCTGTGATAATCTCAAATCCTTCATTGTTTTTATTCAGGATTGCTGAAAACATGTAAATTCGTCAAAATGTGAAGATCTATTTTCTTTTCGCCATCGTAGTAACTTTTGATACACCTTAGACCAGGTATAGGAGAAAGTAAAGTGGGGAAGGCCGCGCCATAGCTCAAGCGGTTAGTCGCTAGCTTCCCACCGCGGCGGCCCGGGTTCGATCCCGGGTCTGGTCAAGTGGGATTTGTGATGGACAAAGTGGCGCTGGGGCAGGTTTTCTCCGAGTACTTCGGTTTCCCCTGCCAATCTTCATTCCACCAATTGCTCCACGGTCACCCTCACCTACCATCTGGGGCTGGTACAATAGGCCAGAAGTGACCGCAGTACAAGGGACTTAGTCCCACCCCACTAGCAATAAAAAAATGGGGGAAGTGTCTAACATCTGTGTGTCTGGTTACATAACGTTTCATTACTGTGGTTATAGCCTACATAGGGACGGACATACTTCGTAATTGACAATCCACTACGTAAATAGCATCAAGTGTAAATTCTTATCGCTGTGAAAATCAATTTCAACAGCAACTATGACATCGCGTCGGATATTGCGATAGTAATTTAAAAGAACAAGAACACAGCCCGTAGATCCAGGCGTTAGCGATATGACACACAGTTTGAGAACTCCTGTAGTACAGAAATCGTCCTATGATGTCGCTTGTCATTTGTCCGTCAAAGTCTCCTTGCCTACTCTATAGGACAAGTGGCGGCACCTGTCCTCACTTTAACGAACTTGGAATGCAACATCTCATTATACTCAGCAGATGTCACTGGAGACCAATAAAAGGTAAAGTCCCTTTAGAATGTGCTACGGACGGCTGGATGGGCATTGCCTAGGCCTTTTTTTTTTTTTTTGTATTTACAATATTTTCGGGTTCGATCCCGGGTCTGGTCAAGTGGGATTTGTGGTGGACAAAGTGGCGCTGGGGCAGGTATTCTCCGAGTACTTCGGTTTCCCCTGCCAATCTACATTCCACCAATTGCTCCACAATCACCCTCACCTATCATCTGGGGCTGGTACAATAGGCCAGAAGTGGTCGCAGTACAAAGGACTTAGTCCCACCCCACTAGCAATAAAAAAAAAGATTTTAAATATAACCTCGGATGACACCAAGTAAGTTCGTCTTCACGAACTAACCAATTATAATTTTTATCCCACTCTCTCTCTGTTCTCTTACTCCCACTTTGGAGCGCATGACTAATTTCTCGGTCCCATGATCATTTTACAGACCGTAGGACTCTTTGGACTAGTGATCAGCCCGTCGAAAGGCCTCTTCCTAAACACAGGACAACACAGACACAGAATAAACGCATGCACACACCAAACATCCATGCCTTATGTGGGATTCGAACTCACGATCCCGGCTTCCGAGCGAGAGAAGGCAGTTCATGACTTAGACCGCTCGGCTACCGTGACCTACAACCAATTATAATCATTGCCTTATAAATGGAAGTTCAGTATTCATGTTAGGACTAGGAATAGAGCAGACATGATTTTATCTTCTGAGTATTCGTCACTAAAACCAAAACCACAAGCAGTTAACAAGTGTCACATCTAAACCTACATTTTAAACGACATAATATGTAATTACAAGCAACATCAAGGTTTACTTTACCTCTCAGTGGACTTCAGACTACTGCACTGCCTGAAAATAATATAAAACAATATCATTATTATATTGTGTGTGTGTAGAATTCAAAGAAACAAAAGACACTGTATATGTGAAAAGAGTTCAGTGCTGCCAAATACAAAAACATTATTGTGAAGGATTTTTGTATGAGTGCAAGAACACGTGTTTTAGAAAAAGTGTGAATGGAATGTGTGGTCTTTAAGTTGGCAAAACTGGAGAGATGTGTCAGCTGTTTAATAAGACATTTCTGCTACAGCTGTGGGCATTATTGCTTTATAGCGGATAGGACCGGTATTTGTCTCTCGAAGGCAGAGAGACATACCAATGTCCGCTGAAAGACAGATGGAATTATAGTACCCGACTGAACTATGCCGCATCTTACAAACCTAAATAGAGATTTCTTCTGTCTCGACAATGATGCATCGGAGCAGTGCTAAACTGGCTTTAGAGGCACATCTTTGGGTCTTAAACTCTTTGCATCATAGAATTTTAGTACCTCCACTATGATTAAACATAAAGGAGTTCTGAATACTGTGAGTACATTGGGCGGAAACATGTCTAATGTAATTACAACAGCTAAAAGGTACAGCCTCTGTCCTTAACTAATTCAGCACTACGCCATGAAGGCGTATGGGGAAGTGAATGTACAGATCCAAGTATTCTTGACCTCGACACTATTTGGAGGTGAGTGGTCAACTTAAGGCCCGGCCTCTTTACTCTCGGGGAAGAAGTTCCAGGTACCAAATGGATAGGTGACCGGGTGGGTTCCAGAACAGCTACGGACGGCGTAGAGAAGAGAAAGTCTTGTCCCTACAGGGACTCGAACCCAGACCCTTCACCAGTCCAGCCCGTAGCCAATCGCTACACCGACTATATCCGAGATTAACATTAAAAACAGTATATTAGATCTGCGGAAAATAACAAGATTAGTAATTAATAAATATTAATTAATTAATTAAATATTAATTAATAAATATTAATTACGCCAAGGAAATTTGGAGATTTGTTAACTGTACACATACTCAAATGTGGGCTCAGAATGCAGCAGTCTAAGGAACATCACTGAATTCTCTGTGTACCGTTGGGCGGATTACAGCTTTTCAAACTTGTCTAAGTGTTTTACACTCCAATATCAATATTCTGAAAAATTTTTATTTCGCAACACGAGGTGCGTTTAGTTTTAGTTTTAACGTAAATGAGGCTAGAAGTAGTGCATCAATCAGATAAATGCAAGAAACCAAATAATATATACATATACTTCTTAGATAAATGCAAAGATATTTCATCTTTCCACTTCGAGTTACTAATAAAATGCGGCATAGTTCTAGAAAGCAATCCTGTATTTTGTTATGTTACTTTCAAGAACTTACAATAAATACTGAAATAAAATTCGAATTTATTTGATTGTTCTTTGCTTTCAGGAAATGTTTTGTGAGACGTCACAACATGAAAAGATCGTCCTGACGTTTAAATACATTCGGAAATTTCTACGAAAAACTTGTATCTATTTCCTTGCATAGGATATTTACACAAAACTTTATGTTTCCAGTAAAGGATCCGTTTTCATCTTCTCACAAGAAAGGCATATATATATATTGAAATCCTGTTCGTTATTTCGCAAATGTGCAGCAGTTTAATCTTGTTTCAGGAGCACCTTCCATGCCTTCAAAGGCATTGCATCATTATTGATGATACAATATACATGTAGCGGGCAGTAAATTTTATGGTAGAACTCACCTACACACACTCATGGAGCTGAGCAGCGGCACACACACAGAAAGACTACACAAGATAACACCTATACAGTGGGGTAACAAGAACTAGCCGCTGCAGCACTTTAAACATAGGGCGAATAACCCTAACAATTTTAAAAATTTTAAAATTTAGGAAAGAATTTTAAAGGTTTTTAAAATTAGAACTAAAGATTTTATTATAGTGCTATTACAACAAAGTCAAAATTAACGTGTGTAAGATAAAATAATCTACAAACCAGACAGTTATCAACGAAGTGAAGTTGATAATAACAAGGAAAGTGTTTTTAAATGTTAAATTTTGAGCTGGGTGCAGTGTGACAGCGACGTGAGTGTTATACACCTGATGATGGCCGTCTGAGGCCGAAACATGTACTGTAGGGGAACAAGATCAAAGACACAAAACATATTGTTTGCACTTGAGACGGAGTTTTTATCATATCATTTATTCTTTTATAAGTTGGTAGCCTTAAAGAAAACTCACACAGAACACAAAATTTGCTTCATTGAACTATCAGAACTAATTCCATCGTTAGTGAATGAGCCTATTCTGTTAACCCTTTAAAATTTGAATTTCCTCCAAACATATAAAAATTCAGTCCGTACCTCACAGGAAACATTACGTCTCCGCTACAGAGCCCAACCGGTTACTGCTGTTTAGGGAAACAGTCGCTGTTTACTGTGAGAACCATACGGAACACACACACTTTCTGTGGGCAGAATGCAGAGTTTTGGTATGTTCAGTCCGTACCTCACAGGAAACATTACGTCACCGCTACAGAGCCCAACCGGTTAATGCTGATTAGAGAAACAGTCGCTGTTTATTGTGAGAACCACAGGGATCACACACATACACTCTGTGGGCAGGTGGTATATATATAGCTTTAAAGGATTAAACGTTGATACGATTTACGCATTAGGTGTAATAAATGTAAAGGTATCCCTGTAACAGGCCGTGGAGGCCTATAGGGTTTTGAGACGACGAGGCTCCCACATTTTCTCTAGACAACCGGTTCACAGATGGCGGTAAGGTTGTCAGCCTTATGCGCCGGCCGCCCTTTTCCCCAAAGAAATATTCCTGGTACTCATTTCTCTTAAAGTTTGAGTCGACCCCAGGGCTATAACGTGGCTGGATGGTTTAAGTCAATTGAAAAATTTAATGATTTCATCGGGAATGGAAACCGCGACCTTCCGGCTTGTAGCAGGTGCCTTACCCAACTACGATAAACGTGCCCCCATAGGTGTAGTAGTAATAAAATTAAAATCTTATAATTTCAGTTTTGTTTCCTTTAAGTTTTTGCAAATTTGTCACTGAATTTAAGGGATGAGGGGATTCTAGACCAAGTTTATCGAACTCGAAACCACCTCCGTTTTGTTCTGGAGGTAGCGGATTTGCTATAGGCTGATCTCCCGTCCAAAATGTCTTACCAACTGTCTATAAATTCATAGTTTCACACTACTCACGACTGGGAGCAGACCAGACAGAAGAACGGAAGATGGAGAAAATTACATACCAACGATGTTCATCATTGTACATTGAGACACTATCCTAAAAGCAGGAATGTCGCGGGTTCGATTTCCGATGAGGTCATTGGAATTTTATGTTCGCCTAATCCTTCCAGCCACATTATGGACTCGAGGTCGGCTCAGCCTCTAACAGAAATGAGTACCAGGAATCTTCTTAGGGATAAAAGGCGATCGGCTCTTAAGGCTGACAACCTCACCGCCATCTGTTAGCCAATTGTCTAGAAAATGTGGGAGCCTCGGCGTCTCACAACAATTTGGGCTTCCACTGTTACAGGGATGGCTTTACATATTTTTACGCTTTACCTAATAATTCTGGGGAGCTTAAACCAAAGATGAGATTGGCGTGTCATGTAGCACGCATTGAGGAAACGCGAAAGTCGCACCCACTTTGAAGAACTACCTCAGATGGAAAGACAATATTATAACAGATCTTAGAGGAATATATGAGGGTGTACACTTGGCTTTTATCAGCAAGATTAGGTGTATCTCCGTGTTACAGAAACAGTAAGACTTTTTTGTGGTCTGAAATACTACTAATCTTTCTTTCTTCTCTTCCCTTCTTTCACATCCTCCATTCCTTTCGTTCAACTCTCTTCTCCCTAAAAGCAGATGTCGTGAGTGCAGATGCTCTATGCAACCGCGTAATTAGTCGTTTAATTGCAGGCACTAAACGCTATCGGGATGTCCCCGGGGGAGTCGAAAGCTCTAACATCATGTTGGGAACTTCCGACACATTCAATGATTTAAACGCACTTGCGTGACACAACACACAAACTCGACGAAGCGGACAGTGGGTCACTTCCGGGTAGCTATTCCAGACTGTACATGTCTCACATAAGTTTCGATATTAAGTTTTATTTAATTTATCAAAACTACTGATATGTCAGAACACATTCTGCTTTCATTTTCTTTACCATCGCCCAGATGTAATCGTTACCATGACCAGAAATGATACGTTTCTTGTGAAGAAGCACTGCCTTCTATGAGCGGCTTGGGGAACCTCGACCTTGAGAGTACGCAAGCGCCGAGTCGGGAAATCGACTGAACTCGAGTCGACCGTCCGAGCAGGAGCGTGGCCGAGCGTGGCTTCCAACAACTTGGCGGTAGTTTACGGAGAAGTGTCGTGAAGTTAGGTTGTAGTGTTGGTGTTTGTTGCTTCAGTGTTATGTCGAAGTGGAATTTTTCTGTCAGGTGCTAGTGTTGCGGCCATTGGCGATGCCTGTCGCTGACCTCTCGCAGTGGTATAAAAGTAAACAAAACAATATCCTGTTTCGTCCTAGCGATCAAGGTAAAGTGATCTGATTTTAATAAAATCGTTATGTGTGTACTTTTTGTGGTCCCTATGAGTAATCTTGTAAATTATACGCGTTTTAATATCTGAATAGCGGGTTTCTTCCTTTAAATTATAAATATGTATATGGTTACATTTCATGGTCAGCCCTAGCAATGGAGACCTAATTTATTTAGTTTCACCTGAAAATTTCTGTGATCTAACGCCGTGTTGTCACCGAAATACACCGACGTTTCTACGAAAAATTCTGCCTCTATCTACAGGGTTGAAGACTACGCCAATTAACTATACAGGAAGAATTGGATGGTGTGCTTGGCGTACAATTCAACTCTAAAGAGTAATGTATTATTTTCCTCTGAAACAGTAATTAACTTTACCGGAGTACACGACGTTATATACAAGAAATTAGTCACCGGTTCGAGAACCTAAAATGGATACAGCCTTTGAAAATAAAATTGTATTTTACATGTATTAGTGATGTGTGCAACACTGCTGAACTCAAATACAAAGTACCACTGCTGTTTATTTGAGTATAATGTTTGATAAATGACTTGTAAGATGACAACGAGATTAAAATTCGAAACAAGCGAATACCATGAATTTCATTGCAGTTGTTACTAAGGGACATGACAGTATTCGTTTCTGTAAGATTTCAGGTTTTCACGGCGGTAACTATGAAGAATGCCGTCTTCTGGGATGTGGCGCCGTGTAGATATTATGTTAACCAGCGTTTCGGAGGAACGTATCGCCTCCATCTTCAGGGTAGAAAAATCCGCGAGCGAGAAACCAGCGTGAGCAGTTGGATGCAGCTGTTCGAAACGTCGGTTCACACAAGATTTACACGGCGCCACATCCCAGAAGACGACATTCTTAGTATTCGTTTCTGCTATGAATGCGTTTTCATTTAAGAATATTCTCATCTTCAGGGAGGCAAAGATAGAGGCAAAACATATTGCTCTACCTAAATAATTAAGCACCATGCAACGAAGACGTAGTGGGAAATGGAGTTATATTCCACCATTCTTAACCACTGCACTAGAGGGAGGTGAGTGGTCAGCTTCACGCCCTGGCCGTTTTACCCCCTAGGAAAGGCCTCCCGGTACCCATTATTTAGGAAGCCTGGTTGATTCCAGAACCGGTCTGGACGCTGTGGAGTAGAGAAAAGTCTCTTTCCCTTACCGGGAATCGAACCATGGTTGTCCATCCCGTAGCCCTTAAAATAGTGTCAGTAAAACAAAGGAATCCGGCAAGAGCGAGGCTTCTTGTAATCTTTCATAACACGCTTATTTTTTTACGGTGAGTTGTTAGCCCCACGCTCAACCCACAAGCTGGAGGACCACCCCTTGTCAGCTGTCCGCGACTGCTTATTCAGTATATTCACAGCTACCCTCCATACCTGGAAGCCATATCCTCCATCGGCAACCTGAGGACGCGCCATGCCGTGGTATCAAGGGACCCACGCAACATGGAGATTTCAATGCCAAAGTAGGGAGGGAATACACTTTCAAACCAACGATTGGACTGAGTTTGCATGAAATTAGTAATGCCAATGGAGTTAGAGTAGTAAACGTTGCCTCATCCCAAAATCTTATTGTCAAAAATACGACTTTCCCACATCGTAACAATCATAAATTTGCTCAAACATCTTCTGATGGGAAGATGAACAACCAAACTTACCATATTTTGTAAGATTTGAGGCTTTCACGGCGGTCACTATGAAGAAAGCAGTCTTTTGGGATTTGGCACCGTGTATATGTGGTGTTAACCGACGTTTCGGAGGAACGTATCGCCTCCATCTTTAGGGTAGAAGAAAAATAGAAGAAATCTGCAAGCGAAGAGACCGTGAGAACCGGTCTGCTGCCTAGAAACATAAAAATTAGAATATACAAAACTATAATTTTGCCTTTGGTTCTGTATGGGTGTGAAACTTCGTCTCTGACATTAAGGAAACAACACAGACTGAGGGTGTCAGAACAGGGTGCTGAGGAGAATATTCGGACTGAAGAGAGATGAAGTGACAGGAGGTTGGAGAAAACTGCATCATGAGGAGCTTCATAACTTGTACTCTTCTCCAAGTATAATTAGGATGATCAAGTTAAGGAGGATGAGATGGGCGGCGCGTGTAGCACGAATTGGCGGGAGTAGGAATTCATATAGGATATTGGTTGGAAAGCCGGAAGGAAAGAAAACACTAGGAAGACCAAGACGTAGGTGGGTGGGCAATATTAAAATTGATCTTAGAGAGATAGGATGGGATGTATGGATTGGATTGATCTGTCTCAGGACAGGGACCAGTGAAGGGCTCTTGTGAACACGGTAATGAACCCTCGGGTTTCATAAAACGTTGGGAAGTTCTTGAGTTGCTGCACAATTGGCCGCTTCTCAAGAAGGGCTCAGCTCCATGCGAGAGTGGAAAAAATGTGTAGATAAACTTTAGACATGATATAACGTGGTTAAACTAAAATGGCTGGCGTTCCTACTTCACAGTATGGAAGTATAGGGATGCAGGTTTGACGTACATCTGAATCGTGACATGAACATCGTCATCAAGGTAAGAAAATAGGAAAACAAGCATGAAAATAACACAAACTTTGGAACAGCAATCTGGGCTCGACCGCCTCAGTGTTGTGGGTAGTGCCCAGGCTTCATGTTCGGGTTAGACTTGGACCCAGGGGACAGAGTCTGACAATGGCTTCAGGTAGTTTCCTATATTCTCTTAGCCATATGCTGCGATGGTGCTTTCTTCAATATATCGTTTACTATATTGCCCTTCCATTCATAGGTGCGAAATTCTTCAAAAAGCATCTTTATACAAAGTACCGGTAATAGAATAAGAGCCGGGTTAGCATACTCGGTGTAGCGAGTGCCTACGGGCTGGAGGACCGAGGGGTCGGCGTTTGAGTCCTGGTAGGTTCAAGAATTTTGTGTTCTACACGGGCTCTGGGGCCCACTCAGCATCCAATCCAATGGGTACCGCGGACTCATTTCCCGGGGGTAAAGCGGCAGGGGCGTGAAGCTCACCGTTCACCTCCAGCTAGTGCCGAGTTCAAGAAAATGTTGATCTGTACATCCACTCCCCCATACGTCTCCACGGTGTAGTGCTTAATTAGTTAAGTACAGGGACAACTTTAGCATTTTACCGGTAAGAAAATAAGATGTGGCTTATATTACCGCTTACTGTAACTGTGCCAGTATCCGACTACTGTTGGTGTCCGGGCCACACTATGTACAGTGTCTGTGCAAGTATCCGACTACTGTTGGTGTCCGGGCCACACTATGTACAGTGTCTGTGCAAGTATCCGACTACTGTTGGTGTCCGGGCCACACTATGTACAGTGTCTGTGCAAGTATCCGACTACTGTTGGTGTCCGGGCCACCATGTACAATGTCTGTGCTAGTATCCGACTACTGTTGGTGTCCGGACCACTATGTACAGTGTCTGTGCTAGTATCCGACTACTGTTGGTGTCCGGGCCACTATGTACAATGACTGTGCTAGTATCCGACTACTGTTGGTGTCCGGGCCGCTCTGTGAAATGTCTGTGCTAGTATCCGAAAATCCCATCCCACCTCTTTCCGTAATCGATCATTTGCGGTAATTATATCAATACCCAATTCAGTGACATTCTCTTTTTCCCTCACCGGAATCTATAGAGACACTGTGGACAGAAATAAAAACGCTACACGCGCCGAGCTTCAAGGTTAACGAGAAATAAAGGAAGATAAGTGATTTTAATCCACACAATTTAACAGCATTGCTACAGTACATGTAGGAGTGTGGAGTCTCCACTGATTCTAATTAGATTTTCTGCTGTAGTCTCTTAAAATAATATCCACGACAATTCTGAAAACGCTTGTGATTCTCACAAACCTCACGAATATAATGCGACTTTGGAATCGACGACCAAGATTCGATCACCGATTAGAGGTGTTCGGTTCGAATCTAGACCAGGATACCAAGCATCCTGACTGAGGGTTTTCGTGGTTTCCATAGTCCCTCCAGACTAATGCTGGGATAGTACCTCGAATATGTCATGGCGCTTTCGTTCCAAATCCGTTGCAATTCTTTATCTCGATACTGAGAACGTCGTTAAGTAGCGTAATATTCCCGATAGGCGCAGTGTGTTTGCTTCTCCAACACTGAGAGACTGGGGTCCACCCAGGTTACAGAGAAACTGCTTGCCCGAGAAGTGGAAAGCCGACCGCTTATCTCGCTTCAATACAGATGTTAAGAACATATGTCGTTATACCTCTCCCGCAAGTAGGCGCCTTAGGCGTGGCGTTGCGGTACAGGGACATGGGTTTCTTCTAGAATTTAGTCAACAGTAAAAGGCCAGCCTTTAACGATTTTGCTGAAACCTAGTGTCAGAATGGAAATATAAAAATTTTAAGTTGATTTTCCATAATTCTTTTTTTTTTATTGGTTGCATCCTGTTGTGTGTCTCAGACAATATATGGCATGTGGGATCTACGCTACCGTCAACACAACAAAATATTTCAGTATTACATTTAGATCTTTATTTACTGCGACATGTTTCGCTCATACATGACCATCATCAGGAAGGAATACGTATAGTTATTGAAATGCTGACACGGATCCTTATCGGTGCGACGCGTCGTATCAAACATTAACATAAAAACTTTGCTTCAGATTAGTGTATAGTTAAAATAGCATTCCATTGCGATGATTGCTGCTTGCTTTCAGGGTCGCAGCCATAAACCCAAATTTCGTCACCAGTGACAACCTTCGAGAGAAAGTTTGGATCCTCTTGAAGCTGTTGTTGAAGTTCCCTGCAGACTTCCAAGCGATGTTGCTTCTGTTCATTTTGCAGCAGCCGTGGCACAAACTTCGCCGCAATCCTCCTCATGTTCAGTCTCACAAAATTCGTTCACATACACCATAACTTAGTCTCAAGGTGTTACGGAGGTCTTCGACGGTCAGTCTACGATCTTGCAGAATCAGATCCTTAACCTTCGCGACATTTTCTGGTGTGGTGC